AATACTAAATACCACGAATCTTTCGCACATATGCTCAAAATTTATTGGGCTACATTATTGACTTTCCAGTCGAGACCCAATTAATCATTAACAACTAAATAATTAGGCTAATTAGTCGCCATAATTGGAAAATATTTCAATTAACTTCTTGCCTTGATTGGGACATTAAAACTTTATGTAGGCTTATTTTGTTGAGGACAAAATAGTTGCGGGCAACGATTCCCTTGAGACATATGAAAAGCCCGTGATAATCAGATGTTCACAAACAGAGCTAGACACTGTTTACTAACTGCGGTCGCATACGACCCACTCGTCCGGGTCGCAAACGACCCATCACGGTTTTTCGGCTTTAACTTCTGAAACAAAGACGTAAGGATAAAATAAAAACTGTAGCGTAAGTTAAAAAGATATGGTCAATACTGTGTGACTCTAACTTTTTTTAAATAAAGAATTTGGGTCATTAACGACCCACTCGGCTCACTTGCTTATTACTACATATGTCCATGTTACTTCTTGAATTCAGCCTAAAACATGACATCATAAGTGCAAAATCGCCTCTCAGCAAGTGATAATCACATAAACTACGAAAAATCGGTAAAATGGGTCATTAGCGACCCACTAGGACCACAAAATTTATTAATTAAATATAATGTTGTCAAACTTTTACAAATATTAGTATAAAAACATGTTATATCTTGGTCATTACTTCTGTACGTTGCAGTTGATTTAACTTTTAAAATCGATCAACTGGGACAATAACGACCCACTCGGAAGTTGAACCACGTCATCAATTATCAGTATCATGCTGTTCCACCATCAAGAAAGACACACGTCGGTCTTAATTCCACGCAAACCACGGTGGCTGACAACTAGCCCTTCTGATATCCAGATTCCAGGGCCAACTGAAGGGCCGTCATCACTCATCAAAGAGCTGCGAGAATAACACTACTGGCACTGCATATGCCTGGAGTTGCGTCCTGACTATGGTGCGTGGAAATCTGTACCGAAAGGACCGTGGCCGTGCTGCAAAAGAAAAGGAAATCGGCTCTCGTTCCTAACTTGCTAGGTTAGCCATGCTGTTATTGTTGCTTGTTAGATTATGTTACCTTTTTCGTCAATTTCGAATCTTGGTAAACGACCTGCTACAACCCACCGCTTGAGACCCAGGGTCCCACGGTGATCAGATCATGTCACTCAAGAAAAATCCCCTGAACGAAGTATACGAGATATGCTGTAACCTTGGGTAAATAATAAAAGACGAGTAGTCAAATTGCATAATCTAATCCAACATGCCAAACTGTTTGAGGTTCTTAGAAAGTACGATAATAACTAAACAACTGATGCATTCAGATTGCTACATCTACTCCGTGAAGGACAGGGGAAAAGCCCCCCCCCCCCCCCCCCCCCCCCAATCTGGCTGGAGGTGCTGCAACCTGCAATCTCTCAGACCTCGTTGTGGGTAACAAACCCCGCAACAACGAAGCAACTTTTTAAAAACGAAAAGAAGTATTACGTAATCGGCCGAGAGAGAAAGGGGGTTTCCAAATGATTACGCTTGTGTAATTTTGACATAATAGCTATGTGGTGGGGGGGGCTATGTGATGGGGGGGGGGCGTAAAAATTGTCCAATAAGTGATTACGTAATATATGAACGGGGTTCACGTACTGCAGTGCGACACGTACTCTAGTGCGACACGTACCCTAGTGCGAAACCTCCAAGATCGACACTGTCGCAGTAGAGTACGCTACCTGGATCGTAGTGCGACAGAGAATTTTCAAGGCCGATACTGTCGCACTACAGTGCGCTACCTGGACTGTAGTGCGATACGAACTAAAGTGCGACAAAACACTTTACACATGACAAGAGTGTAGTCGTGTATGAGTAATGGGGTTAAATATAAAATCTAAGATTGCAATCACAATATTCAATTCAAAATCATTGTTCCAACACACTTCAACTAATCCATTCTGTCATAATCATCGTAGCTATCAATCACAGCGTTCAAGCGACGGTCGTAATCAGTCCACTTCTTCAGTCGGCGAGGAGGTAGTTGTCTGAGCATCTTCATTCTTCTGGTTGATCTTCCATTGGGTTAGATCCTGCTCCTTCTTCAGGACGTCGATAAATCGCCAGATAGTAGGGTTGGTGCAGCCCATCAAGGGGGAGAGGAGGTTTGTGTTCCGACCCAGGTACGTTCGTAGTAGTCACTAGGCAGCAAAGGAATCCATCTCCGAGGGAAGGGTTGCTATCAGCTGCGTCCAGGTCACAGTAGTGCTGTTCGTCAGACTGAGACGTCCGGAGCAGGTCTTCTCAGTGCATCGCCAGTAGGTCTTGTCGTCGCGATTCTTATCCAGGCAGTAGCGGTATCCGTCGTGGATAACGTTTTCTGAACCAGTAGTGCGTCCAGGAATGAAGGTGATTGAAGAAGACATGTTGATGTTGTTCGATGCTTTGGTAGAATCATCGTGACCTTATTTATGGTCCAAGCATATGAACTTGTTATCCCAATCGGAGATATACCTTCATACGATGCGTGTGATAGGAATGAGGATCATATGCTGCTTAAGAGTTACCCAGTGGCTCACACACTGCATACGTGGCTTGAACTGACACGAAGGAATTATGATCAGTGGATAACTTCGAAACACGTGATGTGAAGCGACGAATCGTATTCGCAAGATCACTTCGAAATAAGTGACGTGAACCGACCCGACGAATCACTTAATGGTTCATAAGAAGGATAGGATGTGACCTGAACTTGGAAATAAGTCAGGATATTTTGTCGCACTAGAGTACGCTACCTGGATCGTAGTGCGACACGTACTGTAGTGCGACAGAAGGTGTTTTTGTCGGACTTCGCACTAGAGTACGTGTCGCTCTAGAGTACGTGTCACACTACAGTACGATTACCTATGAACGGCCCCTAAGAAGTAAAGAAAGGAAGCTGCGAAGAGAGTAGATGCAGCCATCTGAAATCTGAATCCAGCAGTTATATAGTTCTTCTTGGACGTTCTAGGAATCGGGAAAAGATAGACATGTTGTTTGCTGTCTCGCTACATTACGGTCGTGTTCTAACAGATAATTAACTCGCCTACCTATCAATCCAGTTCTGCCCATTATTATATTCGTCAGTGATTGGGTGACGTGATCTGCAGATCGCCGTGAGACTCCAAATCTCAGGAGGGCTAGTGGTCAACCACCCGTGGTTTGCGTGGAATTAAGACCTACGAGTGTCTTTCTTGATGGTGGAACAGCATGATACTAATAATTAAGGACGTGGTTTAACTTCCGAGTGGGTCGTTATTGGCCCAGTTGATCGATTTTAAAAGTTAAATCAACGTACAGGAGTAATGACCAAGATATAACATGTTTTTATACTAATATTTGTATTAGGGTTAACCCATTAGGGACGACGAGTTTTAAAGTTTGCCGATTTTGATGCCGTTTAACACACTAGGTCACTTTACAGCAAAAATGAGATATCCAAAAAAGCTAATCTGTATCTCGTTTACTTTAAAAGATACAGCTATGGTCGCATACGACCCACTCGTCCGGGTCGCAAACGACCCATCACGGTTTTTTGGCTTTAACTTCTGAAACAAAGACGTTAGGATGAAATAAAAACTGTAGCATAAGTTAAAAACATATGGTCAATACTGTGTGACTCTAACTTTTTTAAATAGAGAATTCGGGTCATTAACGACCCACTCGGCTCACTTGCTTATTACTACATATGTCCATGTAACTTCTTGAATTCAGCTTAATACATGACATCATAAGTGCAAAATCGCCTCTCAGCAAGTGATTATCATCATAAACTGCGAAAAATCGGTTAAATGGGTCATTAGCGACCCACTAGGATCACAAAATTGATTAATTAAATATAATGTTGTCAAACTTTTACAAATATTAGTATAAAAACATGTTATATCTTGGTCATTACTCCTGTACGTTGATTTAACTTCTTAAATCGATCAACTGGGTCAATAAGACCTACGAGTGTCTTTCTTGATGGTGGAACAGCATAATAATATAAATAATACTATTCTCACCCACACAGGTGCTGTTTGGCCACTTAGTTGAAAGTTTTATTATATATATTAATATTTCATTTCATTTCATATTATATTTGACCAAAACCCATAATCATGGGTAGAGTGGACCGCTGCCAGTGTCTCTCTTTCCCGAACAAAAGGAGATGATATTAATTTGAATGACCGTCCGCAAAAGAAAAATGATACCGAGAATGAAATCGGTCGCTTGCTTTTCCCATTCATTCACTATAGACACTTAGCCAGGAAGGAGGGGGGGCTAGGGGGCCCCCCCCCCCCCCCCCCCCCCCCCCCCCCCCCAGAAAAAATAGAATCCCAGAAAAAGATAAGCCCCCTAGTCCCCATGGTCGCCTGGTAACTGGGCTGTGTTTATGACTGCAGTCAGTCAAGATTTGAACTGTAAATTAGTAAATATCTGTCAGACTCATAACATCCAAGCAAACATTCTAGAAAACTTCTATATATAGTCAATAGTGTCCCCTAGACCGTAGGAAATGTCAAAATTTTAAGACGATGAGGCCTGAGCAAGTCGTAAATTCTGATTGGAGAATACAGATTACTGTAGTGAAGTTACCAAATTTACGTAAGTACTTGATTCTTTTCAATCCCAGTTTATTGCTGTCCTACAAATTTCTTTAATGCCAAATGTCGTCTAAAACACCCTATTTCGCAAAATTTTTCACCCTATTTACCTGTCATTCACGTCTTGCATCTGTTTAAATTAATCCAATTCTAGTTATAACACGGCCAGCCAGTAAGGTTTGGTGGGTGCGACTCAATATACATGTGGCTATTTTTTGATTGTATAAAATCAGGTCCGTAATTTATGAACTATTATTACACATTACTGCCGTTTATTGTACTTAAAACGTTATTGGACTGATTTAGGAAAGTGGTCTTTTACTCCTGATTAGGGTTTAAAGTATCAAAATGAAGAAACGAAATTTAGGAGAAATATTTCCAACTGATATTAATCGATTCATTCATATTCTAAAACAAAAATTATTTAATTTAACGTCGTAACTCACGTGAATCAAAAATATATCCCCAAATTAATTGTAAATTATAAATTAGTTCATTATAAAATCAGAAACCGTTAATACTAAAATATTATTTAGACTTAGAGAAAGTTCGCATTATGTCACCATCGAAGTTTTACTAGCTAAATAAGTTGTATCTTATTTTTAAAATTATTAACTCTTATAACACTATACAGCTATACGAAGCTGTGTATTATAGTTGACCGCATCAATAAGAGTTCATCAAACCGTAATGATTAAGTTAAACTTAAAGTAATTAAAACCAGAAATTTATCTAATAGATTCTTTACGCTGTTTCGTTGAGTTCATTATAAAAATGTATATCGTTCATAGAATGTTCACATAATGTCACCAGTGAAGCCAGAAATGTCACTAGCTTAATAAATCCTCATCTTAAGCTCCGTATTATTGTGTCTTTTCCTGGTTTCGTAAATCTGCAGGGAGAGAATTATATGTTAAGGTGACAAATATATCATTTTAAGAAGTGGTGAATATTTAGGTTTTATCAGGTGGTAAATGAAAAGATAGCCTTCTGCGTTATTTATTTTTCTAGTATTAAGGTTTACAATGCCATTAAAAACTATATCGTTTTTTTTTAAACGCCCAAAACCTAAAAATGACAACAGACTAGGTACCGCGAGAGTTATTATTGTTCGTTGGTACAGTGATGTTCCTTCAGGTGGGATATTAAGCTATCATCTATGACATGCCCTTCAAACTCAGCTAAAAGTTCCCATCTTTCCCTCAAATCTTGCATCATGGTGGCTGTCACTTCCTGAAAAAAATCATTAAAGATAATCTGTAATTTCCTACAATCTTCAGCACAAACCATACCTCATATATTCAATTTGTTGGTATAACAAGATGAAATAAATAAACCCCCGATTAATTATTTACTAATTTACTACAACTCATAATATTATCTTCACCTTATTATAGAACTCAGGCAGTCGGAGGATTGCCCAGCGGTTGTTGCAGCCCCCCTCCGATTCTTCAGTTGGTACAGCAGTGGTTGGTACAGCAGTGGTTGGTACAGCAGTGGTTGGTGCAGCCGTGGTAGGAATCCCAGTGGTTGGCTCGTGCGTGTGATCAGGACAGGTCAAGTTTAACTTCACAATGTTTCCATGTTTTTCGGTATCATCGGAAAGTAGCGTCTCCCACGAAAGGTGGGTGTCAGTTTCAAGCGTTTCTTCAAAGCTGGAACAGATCCCTGACTTGTACATTTTGGCTACCTCTTGTTCGGTCAGTTCTCTTTTCAGGATGTTCAACTTTGTGATTTCACCTCCGAATGAGTTGCCACTATAAAACGAAGCCTCCATCTTGTAGGTGTTATGATATTGTCCGATAACGAGAGAGCCGGTTGCGACAGAGAACTTCTGTCCAGAGCGCGACGAGGCAGTCCCACTCTGCACGCCATTGTAGAAGAGGGTCTTCTTCCCGCTGCTGTAAGACCATGTAATGCAAATATGGTACCACTCTGAATGTACCGGAGTCTGACTCTTTGGAGTGTTGCCAGACAAGAGATAAGCCCAGCCAAGGTTATCAGAGAGAAATATCTCACTGCTACTAACCACAGTCCTGTAATGAAGCCACACTCCTCTACGAGAAGTGGGACTCAGTTTCTTTATCCAGGCACAGATTGACACCTGCTCCTCCAGTGGGGACATGTCCGGGGCAATCATTATATAACTTGAGGTATCATAACCAAACTTTAGAGCAACGTGGGGTTTGTCCGAGATCACAGCTGTTAGAAAGAGGAGTATAAGAAGCAAGGTTCTGTACGCAGTCATGTTGTAGGTGCAGGTTGTTCGTACTAGTGGTCAGGATTCAGAAGGATTTATGACTTGTTTCCTTAAAACTTTAGTATTGTTAATTATTTAAAAAATATATCATTCTGTCTGGTAATGATGTCTAAGTTACTTATTGATCAGTGATTTGAGATCGTTGTTATATCCTTATATGGGCATCACGTGTTACTGTTGTTAAACTGCAGGGCATCTGTTCAATGTTTATAGCGGCCTTTCTTGACTGCTTTCCAATGGTCATGCTTTTTATAACGATTCTTTAAAGCAACGTGATTTTCCTTTCGTCACCTTATAACCGTGAATATTGCGCACATCCTATTTAAACAAATTGTGTCTTTGGCTCCATTAATAAAGTCTGCCATAAAACTACCATTATACTCAAATTATGATGTCATAAAATGGCAATAAAGTTATTCAGTTTAACTGAGATTAAGAAATGTTGATGTACAAGCTAGCAGCGCGTCATGAATTGGTCAACAAAATTAAACCTTAAAAATAATGATTCTGAGGATGAAATAAACAACAGTATTCAGTCCATATCATATATTAATATATTATATTGGAGAACTGAGAAATGAAATTAACGTAGAGCTTTTGAAAGAACTGCATAAGCAGTGGGTACTCCTGCTTAATTGATACGAACATTGGCGATTATTTGACACTGACGTTGAAGGCCTAACAATGAACACACGTATTATGAGACGATATAGGAATATCTATACACCTGGCAACGGGAAAAAAACACTGAAAACCGACCAAAAACCAACCTTCTGGCGTGGCCAATTTCAGCTCACAAATGGAATTGAAACCTCGCCAATTTCAGCAGGGTTTTAAAAACAAGGATAGGAATAGAATATAGCATCCTTAAAATTTTGATTAATGCTTTAGATTTTTAATAATTAACGTCGGAAGTGAGGTAAAATAAACGTTAGAATAACTTGCAGGAAGTGGGTATGGTGCAAAGGAGGGCTAGCAGGGCTGTTAGGAGTTGCAAAAACATTATCCTGGTTTAAGGTTACTGAATAGTGAATACTGATAATTTATAAGTATGTATGATTTTTATTTTAACTTAAACCCTAATTGTTTAATTATTCCTTGTCTGTTTAAATTAACAAGAAGAGGACCCAATCATTGGTAGTCAAACGGTAGCTATTAGCTAATTTTCTTGACCGAATACAGTTAAACCCTGATTAAAATTGAACAAAATGCCGAACGTTACAGAAAAATCTATAATACTTTAAATTGGGGTTATAACAACTGTAAGGTAACAAACCAAGCAATTATAAAAGGACCCTGCCCTTCAATCACGATGCTGATTGTTTTTGCATGGGAACTTGCCGGTAGACAGTTGACACGTCATAACGAGTCCAATAAAACTAAGGCTACCTTCTGATATCTGGACCTCAGACCGCTTCTTATATAATATTCGTAACTGATCTCCTCAATCCCGCCTCCACAGTGCTCTCTGACTACAGCAGTCTTACCGGCGCAGCTTGTTTCACAGGGCCTCCCCACACCATGTCAACTTATCAGCCTATTTCAAACCACCGCGGTGCGTTTATTGATAAAAGCTCTTTGTTTCTTGAATAATGCTTCAACACGTGCAAATTCTTAGAGCGCATGTTCACTAATGAAAACGCTATTGTTCGGATTCTAGGGAAGGGCAGGATTCGGTTCCGAGAAAGTTAGTTTAACAAAAGGTACAGTGGAGCTGCACGTGCCTGCTTCACTTCTTTACTCACCAGTTGGTGTTGAGGTCCAGGAACAAACACAGGCTCATGAACTAATAAATCCGTAAATGCTTTCACCATCTATTTAGTCTGACTACCTCTTCAAGGGAAATTTAAGATTTATTCCAAACAATAACAGTGCAGGTGGTTAAAGTTCACGTGTTTCTTTATCAGCCATCTGACAGCGGTTTACTCTCCAGTTCAATGGTGTTAATTTCATCCTGCTGGATGAAATTTCTCTTCAAGTAATGCTTTTCAACTCCAGGACCGTTAATGTGTTGTTCCACTAAATTAACACGACCATCTTGAGGATGACCTGATCAATCTTCGCCGTCTGGATATGAAGAAAATTATTGCGTTAAAAATCTTACTACTATCCGATAGATCCTTGCTAAGATTGGCTCTAACTTATCTGCAAGACATGTTCAGATACTTACAAAATAGTCACTAATTGAAACTTATTATCCTATATTTTAAATTCTAACTTTCTAAGTTTAGTGGCCTAACTGTTGTCTGTGAGAGCGACATGATGTTTACCTCGACAGTGCTGAATATTGCAGGGTTCCTAGTGGGCTTGGTGGGGTCTGTGCAGGTTCCTAGTGGGATGGGGTGGGGTCTGTGCAGGTTCCTAGTGGGGTGGGGTGGGGTCTGTGCAGGTTCCTAGTGGGGTGGGGTGGGGTCTTTGCAGTTTCCTAGTGGGATGGGGTGGGGTCTGTGTGCAGGTTCCTAGTGGGATGAGGTGGAGTCTGTGCATGTTCCTAGTGGGATGAGGTGGGGTCTGTGCAGGTTCCTAGTGGGATGAGGTGGGGTCTGTGCAGGTTCCTAGTGGGGTGGGGTCTGTGCAGGTTCCTAGTGGAGTGGGGTGGGGTCTGTGCAGGTTCCTATTGGGGTGGGGTGGGGTCTGTGTGCAGGTTCCTAGTGGGGTGGGGTCTGTGCAGGTTCCTAGTGGAGTGGGGTGGGGTCTGTGCAGGTTCCTATTGGGGTGGGGTGGGGTCTGTGTGCAGGTTCCTAGTGGGATGGGGTGGGGTCTGTGTGCAGGTTCCTAGTGGGATGAGGTGGAGTCTGTGCATGTTCCTAGTGGGATGAGGTGGGGTCTGTGCAGGTTCCTAGTGGGATGAGGTGGGGTCTGTGCAGGTTCCTAGTGAGGTGGGGTGGGGTCTGTGCAGGTTCCTAGTGGGGTGGGGTCTGTGCAGGTTCCTAGTGGGGTGGGGTGGGGTCTGTGCAGGTCCCTAGTGGGGTGGGGTGGGGTCTGTGCAGGTTCCTAGTGGGGTGGGGTGGGATCTGTGCAGTTTCCTAGTGGGATGGGGTGGGATCTGTGCAGTTTCCTAGTGGGATGGGGTGGGATCTGTGCAGTTTCCTAGTGGGATGGGGTGGGATCTGTGCAGTTTCCTAGTGGGGTGGGGTGGGATCTGTGCAGGTTCCTAGTCGGGTGGGGTGGGGTCTGTGCAGGTTCCTAGTGGGGTGGGGTGGGATCTGTGCAGGTTCCTAGTGGGGTGGGATCTGTGCAGTTTCCTAGTGGGATGGGGTGGGATCTGTGCAGTTTCCTAGTGGGTTGGGGTGGGATCTGTGCAGTTTCCTAGTGGGGTGGGGTGGGGTCTGTGCAGGTTCCTAGTGGGGTGGGGTGGGGTCTGTGCAGGTTCCTAGTGGGGTGGGGTCTGTGCAGGTTCCTAGTGGGGCGGGGTCTGTGCAGGTTCCTAGTGGGGTGGGGTGGGGTCTGTGCAGGTTCCTAGTCTTGATTCCACCACAACAAACGGCAAAGCACTTCGTCCACTCGCTCCATCCACCATTCACTGAAAAAGAAACAAAAAACTTATTTTATATTGTTGTGGCAGGTTTTGGGACTGGATTATGGTTTAATGTTTAGGAGGGAGTTGCGGAGGGAGTTGCTCCTACCGCAAGGTTTATTTGGGAGGTATTTGCTCCTTTATAATATTTAATGTACAAGGTTTATTTGCCTCAGCAAATAACTTTATAACAGGTTACTAGGTTACTAAGTTACTAAGTTACTGGGTTACTAAGTTACTGGGTTACTAGGTTACTAGGTTACTAGGTTACTAGGTTACTGGGTTACTAGGTTACTAGGTTACTAGGTTACTAGGTTACTAGGTTACTAGGTTACTAGGTTAATAGGTTACTAAGTTACTAGGTTACTAAGTTACTAGGTTACTAAGTTAATAGGTTACTAAGTTACTAGGTTACTAGGTTACTAGGTTACTAGGTTACTAGGTTACTAGGTTTATTTGCCTCAGCAAATAACTTTATAACAAAATATCTATAGCTATTTTAAAGCGTCCCTTAAGATCGCAAAATGAAATGTTAACTATTACGAGACTTGACCTTTCCGAGCTTGACCTTACAGAAATGCAGCTGGCCATGTCAACTTACAACAAAATAATACATAATATGGAGCGTATTTTGTTATATGTAACATATTTTAATGGTTATAAAAGAGTAAGATTGTTTTTTGTCAGGACACAACATTAAAAATAACAACACTAAAAATAGCACAGCAATCTCTGAGCCATGGAGACGGAGCTATTAAAAAAACAACAAAAAACAATCTTCCTCTTTACCCATCAAAATATGTTGCATATTACAAAATACGCCGCATATTATGTATTATTTTGTTAATGGAAGCCGCTACCAAATTAACTCAACATCTATCAAGATAACACTGCACACGCACAGAGTGCCATTATTTTGGGGGCACAAAACCCCCGAACCCCGGCCACCAAACTCATTTAATAAAAGCACGCATCCAACACTGCATAGTTGCTATGATAACTGCGTAGTTGCTACGTTAACTGCATCTTTTGTACTTAAAACTTCCATGGGTGAGAATTGTGATAGAGTGATAATCAAGCAGCTTTAAATATCCATGTTATTACAATATTTATTTTCTTGCTGCCTTTAAAAAGGGTGCTAGTCTCAGATATACCAGCGGTGTTGTGTGGTACGTTGCTTGCAGAGTGTTACAGAGTTTTCAATCTTTAGTTGCAGTGTTGCAGTGTTGCAGTGTTGCAGTGTTGCAGACAGAGTTTAAAACAATTATGATAGCTGCATTTACTATAATAGCGTGAGTTTAAAACACTTGTGATAAAGTTTAATAATGTTATTTTATTAATATTTGTATTTTCCTGGATCAAGGTAATTTTCGTTGTTTTGTAATCCAATAAATTCGCAGGTTCGCAATCCTGGCAGTGTTGGGAGTAGGTAGGTTGTGATTTTATAAAATAATATAGATGTTACAATCTTAAATTTGATCCTTTGAACAGCTGTTGAGCAATGAAACGCAAACATAATCTTAGCAAAATGAATATATTTC